CTTGCTTGTTTTCCGTCTCTATTGTTGCCTCGATGACAGGGACCTGGGAGGGAGCCCATCCTGGTGGAGGTATCGCACACGCATAGGCTCCTTCGCGCAGTCGAGAGAAGTCGAGGGCCCCAAAAGCCTCAGCGAGGTCCGCGTCTCTGAAAAGCCTCAGAAAGCCTCCCTCCAGCTCCTCCTTTAACCACATCGTGTCGTCCCCCATCGCCTCCAACCCCTCCAAGATGTCCTCTTTCACCCTCCTGGCCCACGGATTGACCTGGTCCCCCATCTTCAAGTCGTCCCCCTCAATCGTCGAGTACTTTTCGAAAGGGTACTTTCCGAAGATCGCCGTGAGTTCGTGATCATGATGATGGGGCCTACTCGCTATTCGCTGGAGTCGTTTAAGTCGTCGCACTCGTGCCTCCAGCTTTGTCGGGGCCATCCTCCAGTACTTCAGAACCTCTGACGTCGACATATGTTTGTGCTTTTGCTCGCCCTCCGCAGTTGTCACGGTCGAATGAGCAGCTCCGCGCATCGCCCTGCGTGCAAATCTGGCCACGAGCTTGTCTAGCTCCTGCCAGTTGGCCTCCGTGAGGCAAAAGGCCTCGTTGCCCGACAGCGCTGCGTTCTGTACACAGCAGATGAGCAGGCCTCGGCGGACCTTCCACGGCGTGCGCTTCAAACTCCAAAATCTACCAAGTGCAAAATAAGCCTGTTCCACTGCCTTTCGCCGTTTTTAAAACTCTTCCCCGAACTTACCGTTTACATGCAACTGAACTCCTAGGTAGCGGGCGTGAGGTTTAAACTTAGCTGGCAGACGGATCCTCCCCGAACGGAGATCCCGAGCATCGTTGGTCGAGCCGCACCCAGCGAAGGCAGGGATAATTTCTTGTTTGTCCCGATTCTGCCTACAGCTAATTGTCTCCAGCGCGCTATCTAGAGTGCTGTTCTCCAGAAAGCTTCGCTGGGCCAGTGATGCCAAAGACTCCGTGTCTTCGGCTACTAAAGATTTCAACAAGTCATCTGCATATTGGCACAACGAAAGATCCACATCTCTGTTGGTGAACGGGCTCTCTGCTATACAATTACCTACGTCGCCGCCAGTTTGCTTCATTTTTTGTTGCCAGATGTTCACCCCTCTCTGGAAGGCAAGGAGAAACAAGCGCACCACGTAAGGGTCCCCCATAAACGCCCCACAACCGATCCGAAACATCACCTTGCCTTCCTCGCCTGGCAACTGGACCACTGCTTCGTGGTACCTCTGGCGTCCGAATTGTTCTAAATCTTCCAGCATCAGTTCTTCCTGAGTGGAGTCAAACTCGTCCCAGGAGACGCTGCCGAAGGCATTACTTAAATCATGAAGGTGTGTAATACTTGTGCGTCCCTGTCTGCGCGCACGCCACATAGTACATTGTGCTACTGTGATCGCCGCCTCCTTTGAGCGGCCCTCTAGAAAACCGTGCACCTGTGCCTGCATCCTGGGAGCTACACTCTGTATGGCGTACCAGCCCTTGCCTAAAGGGGCCAAAAGGTGAACCGTCCTAGTACCGTCTGCTGTCCCCCCCGACGTGCGAGCCTCTTTGGACTTGGGGAGGGTAATTCCCTGGCTAAGGTGCCAATAGCTGGGAGTCCGACCAGATTGCCTAATTCTGAGCAGACCGTCCTCCAGAACAGCTCGGAAAAACGGGGCACTCACGGGGTCTTCAGGGGCGCCGAGTCCTCTATGCCCCTTCCTCGGGTGAGCCTCAGGATTCGGATTCAAGAGAATGGCCAGGAGCTCCAAGGGGGCTGCCCATGGTGGTTGTGTCCGTCTTTTTGGGGCCCTTTTCACCCAACGCTCCAGCCGCCGAAGATCCCGAACCGCTGCCCGTCGAAGGTGTTCGTCCAGTACTGCTGGCTCGGCACCCTGAGGTTGTCGCTCGCTGCGCCAATGATCCCAGTCGTGCATCAGTGTCGCCTGCATGCCTCCGTCTGGTCCCGCCCGTGTCCAGTGTTCTGCCCATTTGTCTGCTGTAAGTCCCAGGGCCTTTACCGTCAGGAAATGCCTCTTTTTGACGCCGTACTTGGTGTTCGCCGCTCTCCGTGTAAGTCTGTGTACTTCTGCCATATTACGAACGCGCCAGTGTGCCCATATCTGGTCCAGCACATCCTCCTGATAAGCTTTCCATTCAATTTCTCGCTCCTTCTTCATGTAAGCCGAAAGTTTCTTGAGTCCCTCCACCACTTCGTGTTCTTCCATTTCCGAGATTTCATCGTGCCGAAGTCGAAAGCCTCGTCGTGCTTTGAGTAAGATCATGCGCCTCTCCCTTAGGGCTTGGTATCGTTCATCTCGCTCAGGTTCCCGTGAGAAATATTGTTGTCCAACTTCAATTAATAACTGCTCCGTCTTTTCGAAGAGGTAATCCGCCGACGTACGATTGGCCAAGTCCAGCAGCTCGTCCCAGTTCTGATCAAGCGTGGCCTCCATGTCCTCAACGAAGGCCCGCTTGCGCTCCATGTCCGTGCCCACGTACGCCTGCATCATGGCTTCCGCATTCCACTTTGGTGAGTTGTCCTGCTTGCGCTGCTCGCTGATGGAGGGCATGCAAAGGTTAACATGTACTGGCAAGTGATCTCGTCGCTGTTTGCTCGGTATCTTTTGCATTGCTCTACCAAGCCTCGCCAACGGTCCGCAGCTTGTCTCCCACTTCTCCAGCGCCGTCGGTATGCATATGTAGTCCACGAGCGACGAGTTGTCGCAGTTACCGTACCAGGTGTCGTCGGCCTTCTGCATCGTCGTGGCCACCATGTGGTGTCCTTCCAGAATCTCCCGCAATCTGCGCCCAGCATAGTGTTCTCGTCGCGACCCTGGGCGGTGGATAGCCGTGCTGTCCCTGAACTCCGTCCCCTTGCCGTTCTCCGTGACCGTCTGGCCCATGCCGTCATTGAGGTCTAAGCATATGATGGGGGAGCTTCGGCTCGGGGTCTGTTGTAAGACTTCCTGCAGCCAATCCATCAGCATGTCAACGCATTTCTCATATGTCGATCGGGTTTCCAACTTGGTCGGTCGTGGCGGCACATAGAGGCCTATCAGCGTGAAGTCGAACTGTTTTGATGCCAGTCGCACTGCTAGGCCCCGTCCTGCGCACTGTTCTGGTGCCGCCATCGCCCGTCGTAAGTGTCGAGGTTTGAATTTGTTGCCGAAACTGAAGAGCACACCTGCAGACTTGTTGCTGTAGCTGGCTCTTTTCCATCCACTCTCTATGCGCCATCGCTCTCCAGCTCTCTGTTGCTGAAGTGGTAGGTCGCACCGACGCTGTGTGCCTATCAGGCCGACGAAGTCGTAGCCCTCGCAGGCGGTCTCTATGTCGTCCAACCTCTCCGTCTCTCGCGCCGACAGCGGGTTGTAGTGCAGAAACCTCCACGAGGCCCTGCGCACGGGCACAGCCTCGGTCTCCGCCGTCTGCGCCGCCACGCCCTGGGTGATCGCCGCCAGCAAGGCGGTCCTCATCGCCCGCATGGCCACCTGCAGCTTTTGTGAAAGCCTTGGTAGGTTGGTCGGGCGTGCCGCATGGGCACAGCTTTGGCCGCCTGGCCGATGGTCTAAACCAGTATGGCGGCTATATATATATATATATATATATATATATGTATGACTTTTCCACCGTGCCTCTGGGCACGGAGTGTGCGTGCCCTCATGTCCGTTACCCCATCCCCTGAGCAGCCCCACAACCAGACCCAATTCCTGAGGATTTTGCTCAAGAGGGACTGGGACGCAAATTCACAAATCTCCCGGGGCTTCCTGCGGCCTGTCGCGGGTTCCTGGCGTCCTCTCGCGTGACTCTCTCGGGCCCCACACGGCCCCGAGACGGGCCAACGCGGGCTTCGAGAGGCCGCCCGAGGCGGTCCAAGAGGACCCCTAGTCGGCGAACTCTCGCCCCGGGATGCCCAAGATGGCTCCCAGACGGCCCAAAGAGGCCGCCCAGACGGCCCAAGATGCCTCCCAGAGGGCGCCACAGAGAGTTCCGAAAAAGGAAGGAAATGATGCATTTCCCGTAGGTTTTTGAAGGTTTTGGGCGCTCCGCGGCGCTCCAAAGCTTTCTCGCATTTCCGACGCTCCCAATGCGGCCCAAGAGACTCCCAAGATCGGCCCGAGACGGCCATGGAAAGCTCGAAGGGCGCTCCCCGACGGACCTAAAGGGCCCCTTATACGTGCCAAGAGGCAATCGAGACGGCCCTAGAAGGCTCCAAGACGTTTCAAGAGGGCCCAAGAAGAGACCAGCGAAGGGAACATTGTAGATCTGCACCCTACGAGACTCCCAGAAGGCCCCAAGAGGCCCCCAAGTGGCCCCACGAGGCCCCCGGAGGCGCCCAAGAGGCCTACAAAATAGCCCCAGAAGCCCCAAAACGGCCCCCAAGACGCCTCGATATGCATATACGCATATATGTGTGCCTCAGGTGTCGGTACCACTTGAGGCGCGCAAATGATATGCCTCACGTGCTGCGTGTCTGGCACCGTGAAACGCGTACAGACGAGATGCCTGAAGTCACTGCTGTCTGATATCATGTCAGGCATGCAGGGAGGCGCGTCGAATGCGCGCGCGTAGGTGCTCGTCGTCTCGAGCCCAAATGGCTCAGGTGCCAAGGAGGAGGATTTCCAACCCTGGCAGCTGAGCCCCGGCAAGGGAAGCTACAGGAGGAGGAGGATGCTCGAGGAGGATGGTGGATGAGGATGATCGAGGAGGAGGAGGAGGAGAGAAGGAGGAGGAGGAGGAGGAGGAGGAGGAGGAGGAGGAGGAGGAGAGAAGGAGGAGAGAAGGAGGAGGAGGAGGAGGAGGAAGAGGAGGAGAAGGAGGAGGAGGAGGAAGATCGAGGAGCAGCTGCGGCGACGGCAGCAGGGAGCAGGGGAGGAGGAGGACACAGGCGAGGAGGAGCGAGGAGGAGCGACGCAGGCGCGGGGCGTTGGCCGCGGGGGCGGCTCGCGGTGCGCGGCCGGGGGCCGGCGGCCCTCGCGCCCTCGGCCCGCCGAGAGCGCTTTTTCGAGTCGAGCTGGGCCGCGGGCGCCCCCGCACCGCGGCGAGCCCCGTCCGCGTGCGGGTGCGCGGCCCCGCCTCGCTCCGCCCTCCCGCCGCCGGCGCCGCGCCCCGTGCTGGGTGGTGCCCCTCCTCATGGTGCTGCTCGGCCCTCTCCGCTCCGCCTCGCTCCTTTACGAACAACACCACCACATGCAAGGCAGTTTTTAATACATAGGATGTTTAAAACTACAGGATTTTATACATGATTAATGTATGAATAAATTTATGCATGAACTCAGGATCCGCACGCGGAGCATGTATTAAAAACGGCACTGTACTTCCACCATCCTCGTCGTCAGCTCGTCGCTCCATCCGCCCCTTTTTATTTCTGCCTCCCCTTTGGCTCCTGCTCCTTCTCCTCCTGCTCCTGCTCCCGCTCCTGCTCTTGATCCTGTTCCAGACCCTGCTCCAGATCCTGCTCCTGCTCCTGCTCCTCGCGCTCCTGCTCCTGCTCCTCCTTCTCCTCCTCGTACTCCTGCCCCTCCTGTTCCTGCTCCTGCTCCTGCTCCTGCTCCTCCTCCTCCTCCTCCTCCTCCTCCTTTTCCCCTGTCAGCTCATCCTTTTTCCCCTGCCGCCCCTACCCTCGACTCGACCCGATCCTTCGGCAGCCCAGGGAACAACATAGCCACGCCGCCTCCCTCCTTTTCTCCCTGTGCAACGGGCCCCCAATCGGGTGATCGATCATATGAGGGAAGAGTGATACCAAGTCATTGCGTCAGCCTCTACAGCAGACACTCGACGTCGAGGCAGCAGCAGCGCATCACTAAGCTCGAAACGAAACACCAAGATGGCTATGTTGACAAGTGTTGGTGCACCGATGCATAACAAAACTTCTGGATCGCAAATACTACGTCCACTCATTTGTGATCCACCCTGGAATCGATTGTCTCGTCCCCGCGACCCGTGAGGGTGGTGCACGAAAAGATACACTTGGCATGTGTCGCCACAAACAGAAAAACAATACACCCCGGGGGTTGACCGGACAGCGCGTGCTCAAACTTCAGGCATAATTCATAGATACAGTGCGACATTCGCCAAGGAGACATAGGAGGAAAATTCGTGCATATGGCAGATAAATAAAGTTCCTCGGGTGCATAAGACAAGCTCGCTTGAAACGCGCTTCGGGCATGCGTCTTTGGACGCAACCCGGACGCGCCGTGTATCACAGCGACTGCGGAAACTCTGACCAGGAGAAGGAACCAGCTCGTCGACCTGGCTGGACGCAGAGGCATCGTCCCTTGCATCTACCCTACACTCGAAGCCGCTGCCGCTATGGATGTCGCTCTCGTCCGAAGTGTCGTTCGCCTCCCAGAACGGCTCAGACCTAATATCCTCCAGCAGCCTCAAGCACCGTGCCTCGGAGAGCCCCTCGATCAGGCGACGGATTTCATCCGACTTCCCCTGGGCCGCTATGGTGTGCACCTTCGCGCCGCAAACGCTGCATCTCCTCGTGCTGCCGAACAGTCATGTCCGGCAACTATCATTCATGTGTTACTCTGTCCTCGGTCGCAACGAGTTGCTTGTCAAAATCTGCAACCTTATCCATGTGAGGACTGCCGATGGACGCCGTGACATAATCAGTGCTGATGGACGCTTTCGCTTTGTTTGCTGCGCCAACCTAGCCACATAGGTGCTGGCATGTCCGTAGAGACAATATTGGCATCCACTCCGTCGTCAAGCGGAGCCGTACAATCGTCATCACGCTGAGCCGAACCTGCTGCAAAAATGCACGTGCGAGTACCTATCGCTGACGAATCTCCACGCCCTGACATAAACAGTGACATAACGAAACACTGAATGTGCGAAGTTTGCAGTTTGCAAAACTAACAAGTTGTTTCTGTTAGTAGGATTGCTCACAAGCGAAATGTTATTCCTGCAATCAGACGTTCGGGAAACAGGGCGAGACATAATCAATCTGTAACAACTAGTAAACGGGAGCGAACTATAAGGGGATATATGGCTTGGACATCATCATCATCACCATCATCACTTAATCGTTCTCCTGAGTTCGTATTCTTTCTTCTTATTCCCTCATCATCACCATGATCATCACCATCCGCATCAACATCAACATCATCAGCGTCATAAGCATCATCACCACCACTATAACCACCACAACCATCACCATCACCGTCATCCTCACCCTCATCTTCATCATCAGTGTCATCTTCGTCACAATTATGATGATAAGGTCGTGATCACTCCCCCTCCCTGTCCTCGCTCTTCCTCCCACTCGTCCCTGTCGTGTCATTGCGGGCAAGGGCATCATGCCGAGCCCTCTTGGTCTTACTCCCTCTCTCACTGCCCCTGCCCTTTGTGATGCAGGGGTGCGCCGCTGATCGGGCTGCAGCGAAATAGTTCTGGAGGGAAAAACTGCACAAATAATTCGGACGAACATCCACGGTGCATAACTTACCACGCGAGAAGACTCACGCAACCTTACATAATCAGATCGTAAATCCGGCTAACACCGTCGTCATTACATGCGATCAGATGATATATTGAGACACTGCTGGCCACGCGTGACGAGTCCCCTTTGGGACCGGTTGTCGGCACTGGTATGAAATGGCATGTGAATGGTACGCGCCAGAACTACAACACATACCTCGCCGCCAATCGAACATATCACGCCAAATGCGGTTAGGAACGCATGTGCGCAATCGAGTGGGTTCCGAAATTCGTGAAATAAAGCGCGATGGGACACATGTATCTAATCATTGGGAGATGAAGTGGGCAGAGTCGACAACACGCAACGAGTAGTTACAACTGATAGGCCTGAACCCATACATCAATAACGCCTGCGCGTAACCATACCCACTCAAATAAGCGATGCATCATGTCCGCATTAAGTAGCGAGACGACAAACAAATGCAAAAACAACCACTTGCGATGATCCCCGCGAATTTCTTGGATCTGCGCTGGAGCCCCCTCCCTGGCACGCGGAGGGCGCCAAGGACGGCGGTGGAGGCGCCGCCGGGGGGCCAACCGCCGATCCAAGAAATCCGCGCGGACCGACGACAACGTGTGTGTGTGTGTGTTTATACCGTCTTCTCCCACTAAAAGCCACGTATACTTTCGGGGGCACTGTAAATTAGCTCCACGCCCAGCTACTCAACGAGCTGGAGTGTACAGTCCA